AGTTGCATCCCACACTTTAATTAGGTTGATCTTACAGACAGTAATATTTCTGTGTTCAGATACAGCATGAAAGAGGACTCATCATGCTCTAATGGCAACTAAAGATAGTACTTCACTCAATATCACTTAAGCCTTCCAGGCCTCAACAGCCAAACCCTTACTTCAGTAATTGATTATTTCACCATAAATACTTAACATTGCTCTAATGCAGGAAACTCTTTTATGTCAGCCTCTAAATACTGTAATAAAGTGAGCCAAAAGCACATCCTGTACCACACAGCAATGCATTTGCTGTACTCAAGATACCAAAGTGGTCTGCAGTGAGCTATAGGAAAGATGTTAGTATATGCACTGTCCCAACAGTGTGTTAAGTAACAGCGCTAACACACTGATGGTTTCAACACTCCAGAGATTCCAGATTTTCTAGGTGAGCAGGTGTGCTAATTATACATCTACAATAAGTAGCAGAAACAGCTCAAGGAACTGGAACATCTCCCATGGAGCAGAAGTTGTTGCAGGGAAAAGAAGGGGAGTATATAATCCCAGGATTAAAAAAAAACACTAATGGAAATACCATTTAAAAAAAAAAAAAAAGGCATGTGTTAAAGGCATATCTTTATAATGACTATTTCCAGTTAAGTTTCACTTAAGATGACAAGTAATTTACTGCCTAAATGAATGCTCTCCTCAACCAACATCCCTGAGCTTCACCATGACAGCCATTTAGATTAAACAGGAAAAAAAAGTATGTGTAGCTGTTCTTTCTAGAAGTATTCTCCAAACTCTGAAAACTCTGTTTAGAAAACAAGCAAAAAAAAAAAAAACCAAGCCCAAAGACAAGGTGCACTTTTAGACCTCTCCCCTAACACACACAGGTGGAAGACACCATGTCCAAGTGCAATAGCTACTAACAACTGACAAGTACTTCCACAAAGCGTGTAGGCATAGCTGTGGGCAGGAGGAGTTAATTTTGAAACACAGCTAGTGCCAGAGACCCACAGGATACCGAGAAGGCTATCGGCAAGATCAGTCTTCAGCCAAGCACAAAGGAAAAAAAGTAACTTTAAGTGAGCCAAAACAACAGTCAGGATTCTCTCCATTCTGCAGGTAGTTTTACCAATCAGTTTCTATTGATTAACTGGACACCATCCACTAGCTTGCTACCTGCAACAGCTGTTTAAATCTTGCAGTTTATTCCTGAGGCTATGTGAGAAAGTTAAATAAGTATAGCAGTGACATAGATGACAACTATGGATAGCAGTTTTCAGGTTAAGTTTTCCCCAGTAACTGCTAGTGTAACTTAACTACTTCCAACAGCAGCATAGATGCCAGATATCAGCATTTTTACCAGTATCACCTGAACATGACTGATGACACTGGTGAAAGCACAAAGGGTTTGAGTCACTAATTTGATAACATGAGAAATGCAAGAGAGGTTTGCATTCAGAGCTAGAACCTGTGACTGGATGTAGAGAATGGGACCCTGCAGAGCACTACAGTGAAGCTCCGTATAGGGCCTCTGGAGCACCCAGAAGAGGTACAGTTGCAGAACCTGACCTTTTCATAGTGATAACGAGAAGTCAGTAAAAAAAATCCAACCAAAACACTCTTATCACTAAATCCCCAACCTGAAGTCTAGCCTGGATTTCTCAGAACAACATTCTCCTTTGACCTTGCCAACCTAGTAAGTTTGACTCATTAACCAAGTTATGTCCCTGTATCTTTAAAATGCCTGGTGGGAAGTCTACAGGTATTACCCACAACTTCGTGCAGTAACAGGAAAAAAGCTTGTTTTTCAGAACACGAAACAATTCTGTTTTCAAGCTTATAAAAAACTCTTAAAATTACACTTAATATTAAAAACTACCATCCTTGTTCTAAGATTAAACTTTAAATGACGGACTTCTTTACTAGCCTGTACCTAGAATAGTGCTTTTACTAAAAAAAAAAAACCAAAAAAAAACTCAATAAGAACAACTAGGTACTACCAGTCATACAAAGGCTACTCATACAACTCACCTTTTCTCCTCTGCAGGCAAAAAGATCACAAGTTCAGCTTAGAGAAAGACAAATACTGTTTAGGTGACAAAAGAAAAAAAAAAGCTTTCTGCCAAATAAACAAGTTTTTCAGCCATCACTGATGATCTTATTCTTCAGTAATACTCAATTACCTCCAGTGTCTGTATACCCTCACACAGCTACCTAATCAAAATAAAAAGCCCAGTGATTTTTAAACACGTGACAGTATTATGACAAACTGTTTATATGGATCTGTAAGAAAGATCTAAGTATGTTTGCTCTGAATCCAAAGGATGACTGTCAAATGAAATTTAGCAGAGCATTAAGTACAGTTAAATCAGGTTTAAAAAAAAACCCACCTCACTTTCAGACACTGCTGCCTGAAAATGGCACCAGTAACTCAATTACAGTGTTTCAAGTTAATATTTAGAGGTTGAAAGCCTGGAAACGCCTTTAGGACACACAAGGACATTTCACTGCTGGCTTCAGACAGCCCTGAAGAACCTCATGATCAGAGTCATTTTTTCAGGAGTTTCAATCGGCCAGCGTGAGGGCTTATAATGGAAACGCCTATCGCTCTGCTTACGCAACTTCTTTTGCTGTATAAGAGGCAACGAGCAAACATCTGGCATATACAAGTCCAAAGGGTTGCATTCTCCCCCAAAGCCTTTGTTTTAATGAAAATGTTACAGCAGGGAAGCGAGAAGAATTTATTTGAAAACCCACTGTAGGCACTACACAGGTGAGCCCCAAAAGTTCAAAATCATCAACTGGCGTCAAAACCATACCACAAAAAACCAAACCAAAACAACAACAAAAAAAAACACAAACAGAAAAAAAAAAAAAAAAAAAAAAAAAAAAAAAGGAAACAAAACCAGACTGTGCCATAAGAGACTGCTGGGTAAGAATGCTGAAGGCACCTTCTGCCGGCAAGTGACACTGCACGTACAGAGCACATACATACATAAGCATCAGGACTGGAGTTCCTACAAGCCACCTCCGAAGACCGCAGCCGCCAGCCCCGGCCGCGCCGCCCCTCAGGGGCCGTTCCCGCGGCAGAGCGGCCAGGCGGCCGCCCGGGAAGCCCTGCGAGCGCTCCCCCTCCTCTACATGGCAAGAGGGAAACGAGAGAGACATGCGAACCGCCGGCGGCGTTTTCCTTCCACCTTCCCCCCCCCGCCTCGATCTGCGCTATCAGATGGGCGGCGAAAGGGGATCGGAGCTCGAAGCCCTCCTCCCCCTCGCCGCCAGCCGCCGCCCCGGGCCGCGCTGACCCAGGAAGCGGGGTAGAGGCGGCGGCGGCCCCGGGGCTGGGGGGGGACGAGGGGCGGCCGAGAGCGGCAGCGAGCCGCAGGGCGCCCCGGGGCCGTGAGGGCTCAGGCGACCGTTGCTCCAACGGCCGGCCGCGGCAGGTGACAGACCCGCGCGTGCTCCTCCCGCCCGCCGCGGGTCACTCACAGCTTCAGGCTGGCGTAGGCCGCCGCCGCCGCCGTTCCTGCCGCCGCCGCCGCCATTCGTCCCCCGTCGGGCTGTCTCCGGCCGCCGCCGGCTCCGCGCCGCGTCGCGTCGCTCCCGGCCGCTCCTTCCCTGCCAGGCTGACGCGTCCCCCGGCCTTGAGAGACGGGACCCCGCACGGGACAAACCTACCGGGGCGCCTCGGCGAGCGCCACAGGGCGGGGCACCACGGCGGGGGGGAAGGGGGGCGGGCCTGGGCCGACTCGCCGGCCTCACGATTGGCTGAGCCACCGCGCTCCACCAATCGAACGGCACCGGGCGAGGATTGGCCAGCGCACGGGTGGGTCGGCAAGCCGCGCCCCGGGGCGGGCCGCTGGGCCGGAGGTCGGCGAGGGGATTGGCTGCTCTCTGAGCGGCGGCCCCGCCCCCGCGCCGCGTCTCTGGTGAAGTGCATGAGGGCAGAAAATCGTACGCGAGCAGGGCCAGTGGCGCAATGGATAACGCGTCTGACTACGGATCAGAAGATTCTAGGTTCGACTCCTGGCTGGCTCGGCTGCTCATTTTTTCCCGCGCCTTTTTTTCCCTCCTGGACTCCAGCCCGAGGGTGCCGCCTGCACCCCCCTCCGCTCGTGGGCAGCGTCCCAACTCCCACGCGGACCCACCGCACCCGCCGTCGTGCCCCCAACGTGGGGTGTACACCAGGAGCATCAAAACACCCCAGGGTTTGGGGGACATTAGGGGGGCGTGGGTGCCCTTGGCAGCCCCCACCCCCCCCAGGCACCACCTCGGGGAGGGCTGGTGGCCACCTGGGCTCCCTGTCTGGGCTGGGGGTTTGGCACAGAGCAGACCTGGGGCACCTCGTGGTCAATCTCCCACTGGATCCAGCCCTCGGGTATCATTCCCCCAGTTCTGGGCAGCTTCTTGCCTCAAGGAGGGGGAACCCCAATGTCTGATTACAGCTAATTCTATTTAGTTGCTTCATTTTAGCTGATAGCTCCATGCTGCTGCAGTGTTGCTCAGCCAGCAGCGCTTTCAGCACCTCGTCTTCAGATATGAGGAGACATCACCGTCACTGATAGCAGCGACACCAACGGGGTCACCACATGGGCACCTGCCCCCCGGAGACACCAGAACCCTCCCCAGAACCCTCTGAGGAACCCAGCCTCACCAACACTGCAAAAGGAGACCCCCATGCTGGGACTGGAGCCTGCTCCCACCCGTAGCACATCCCTCCTGAGCTCCTCACCCCAGGACCCGGGTCTCCCCAGAGGGATGCTGGAGCAGGGCGGCCTCCGATGGGACTGTGCCAAATACCAGCTGCCCATGAAGGACTGGAAATCCCCAGTGCAACCCCACTGAGGAGGTTCCCCCCACCAGCCCCTGCTTCAGCCACTGATGGCGGGGGGGGGGGGGGACAGGAGGGAAGGCAGAGCTTGGGAAACCATCATTTCACAGCGTAACTACCTCCCCGTGGACTCTGGGAGATGACAGTCATCATAATTTTAGGAAAGACTTGACGCTGAGCATTGCTTTACAACACTGTCTTTAATCACTGAAATCACAACAGGCCAGCGGCTTCGCTCCCGCTGCTGGCCTTCATTCTTTATAAATATTTAACAGCGCAGAAGAAAAGAGGGCTGTGTTCACAGATGGCTAAGGTTAGTTACACCAGCACAAATCCTAAAATACTCTCTCCTGGAGTTGAGCTTTGAAGGAAACATAAAATAATTAGTACCATTCAGTATCATTAACCAGGCTCTAATTTGCTTTCCAGATACAGAAAGCCACAGCCTGGGTGTGTGCACCCGGGTCCCTGTCTGGCCGTGCACCGCAGACCTGCTGCGCGGGGACAAGGATCAGTGCCTCTGGGGGCTCTATGCCACGTATTTTCACGTGGGGACAGTTTCTTCCTGTCTCTTATCTTGTCTTAGCAGGCTACAATGCATATTGCCACGCTGGCTGCCCTGGAAGAAAGCAGGGTAAGGATTTTTATTGCTCGGAAAAGTTTAATTGTGCTTCTCCTTAGGAAAAGGGTGGGTGTGAAGCTCCAGGCTCTGTCTGGGTTCACGGCAGGAAGATGTCTGCCCAGTCGGCTCTGGTAAGTACACCTTCGTGCCGCTGCAGCCAGCGAGCAGGACACAGAAATGGAAAAGAAAAATGAACGCACAAATGCTGCACGATGAGAGAGGCAAACCTCCCCCCAGCTTCTCCCAGTGACCCAGGCACTTGGCCTCAGACGATGGGGAAAAGGGACATCTATCTGGCCACAGCCCTTCCCTGCCTGCAGGTACTGACTCCAGACATGTTTCCCCAGTGATGAAGCTTGGGTCAACTCGTCCTTACGTTTATGGGCAGAAAGTTGCTTAAAATGCCTCTATGAACACTTGGCACAGGCACAGAGGAGTGAAAGGCAGGTCTCTCACTGGCAGCCCGTGCCGCACATCCACATGCACAGACACGACAGCACACACCACCCCAAAAGCAAACACAGAGCACGCAGCTGAGGCCGATGTGGGAGAGGCACGGTCTGGACCAGCATATGCAGGTGTGCTACCCCTCAAAAACCCCTCTAATAAATGTCCAGCAATACGATACACAAAAGCGAATCTGCCTAATCACCGGCCTTCTTTTCCCTAAAGCTACTGTATTTTTTAAGTCACATCCTTCTTTCTCCATACACCCCCAATGCTTCAGTACATATTTTTGTTTATTGAACAAAGAAGTTGGCAGTCCATTTCAGCGATCATTTCAAGGCAGCTTTTACACTGCTGCAGATTCATCTTCAGGTACATCTTGTCTGTAATAAAATCACTCTGCCCTTGATCCAACACTGACCTATGCACACACATTGATTTTCATGTACGTGCACAGCCTTATTGGTTTCAGTGGGACTGCCTCTGAACTTGAAGTTCAATGCAGATGAAGCCCTTCATGTGATCTTCTTAGCAACAGCAGCAGAGTACAAAGCCGCCGCTGCATCGATCACAAAGGTAATTTGGAGGATCAGGTCAAAGCGTTCAAGTAAGGATGGAGAGCGTGTGTCAATTTTCCTCTAAGCAAGCACCCAGTTTTGCTGTTGTTGAAATAATAAAGTGGCAAAATTTCCAGGGAAGTCCAAAACAGGGACTAAATTCATTAGGAAGCGTGCGCCTGCAGTTCTCCCCAGGGCTGTGACCTCACGGGAGAGAGAGGTGGTCACAGCAGCGCTTGCGAACAGACCCGAATACTGAAATTCAGGGATGCCAAATATTTGCCCAGTGCTAAAAATCAGCACAAAGGAGAAATCACGGGAAGGTATTTACTTTTTTCTCTCGGCAGCCAACGATAACCCTTTCTTTTGAATGGCCAACTCACACCAGCTCTTACAAGCCCAGTTTCTCCCTTTCAAGACTGCTATAGCACACCTGATGCTGATGAAACTCCATCATTTCCAGACCATGGAGATATTAAGTTTGTAGTAAAAAGATCTACAAAAAATCATTCAATCCCTGAAATACTAGGAAAACATTTTAAAGCCCCCAAATAAAACTCAGAAACTGAAAAGCCACAGACCTCATCAAATACTCCTCACCAGGGTGTTTGAAACTGCTGTTCCCTGTGTTTAACATCAGGGCAGTTTCCTAAATCACTTTGCTCACAGGTGTTTCTTACACCTTTAAATTACACAAAAATGTCTGCTTCTTCTATAGCTGGGGCTTCTCTCCAGCTTTTATGCAAAAATTCTTATTTAAATGAGTTTCTGCATTCTAAACAATGGAAATTCAAGAGCATGATTTGAACAAAAAAATCTGTTAAGCTCTGGTTCCTGAAAACAAGTTGCAGGAATTCACTTGAAGAACTATTTGCATTAGAGTTACTCATTACCAGCACAATAGGACTTCCAAGGGTCCCCTACTCTAAAACCAGTCAGAAGAGAATGCTGGGGGGAGGAATTAAGACTAACTTTTCATAGCATGTTTCAGCATCTTAATAAATAAAAAGACAACAAGGCTCACATGACCAGCAAAACCCAATGCCTATCAGCTAGGAGACAGGCAGAATTTAAGATGATTTCTGCAATTTTTCTGAAGAGGATGCACAGCCTCGCACCTGCAGCTCCACAGCTACCTGCTTGCCCTTTCTCCCTTTGGGGAGCTGCCTGAAGGCAGTGAGGGGGGTCAGGAGGAGGAGAAGCCCCCCCTGGGCAGGATGCCCCTGCCTCCCCCACCCCGGACCCACTGTCAGGCAGCTGCAGAGCCAGGGACAAGCTGGGGACAATCAACAGGGACTCAAGACACCCACAGCCTCAGAGAAATAATAATGAGCCTAGATGAATTCAGACTCCCAAAGATAAAAGCGGTGCAAGTTAGCACACAGAGGGGAGCAGGGCAATGCAGTAGATGCTTTAGCTTCAAACCCACGAGCTCACACGCTCCATTTTCAGTAGCTTCACATTGTTGCTTCTAGCTCCTCATAAATATGGGAGAGTATTGGCACTTAATGATTTATATAGGACCTCAAAACTGAAAGTAGGGCAGCCTTCATTTCCCCACCACGGAGAGATACGGGATGGCTGACAGGAGTAACAAGACACTGTGTGGGAGCAGAGGCCAAACTTTCCAGTGATGCAAAGGGTGCTCCTGTGGAACAGCTCACCACAAACAGGCTGCTTGAGGCTTTCCACAAAGGAAAACTGTCCTTTTCCCCCTCCTCTGCTTTTGGGCTGCTTCTGGGGATTGTGAGGAAGGCTGCAAGAGTGAGACTGTAGTTTAAACTGCAGCTTAAAAGAAAATATCAGTCCCACTTGTGTTTTCAGATCTTTCCAAAACAAAGGCCAGAAAATGTGCATAAGGGCTTGCTCTAAAAATCAAGAGCTAGCAAAGGCATGAGCCACGTAGTAGCTGGTCTCTCAGACAGAGCAACAGATGACCAAGGCTGGCGCTTCCAGCTCACTTCCAGAAGCTACTTTGATATCTCGCTGCCTTTGCTGCCAAAGAAAGGTCAGGGAGGGGAACTACCTGCCCAGGACTATGTGAATTATTTACCAGGGATATCACCTGGTGTTATTTCCCACCTCAGTCCCTTCAGACAGTCCTACGATCAGTCACACCTTGAAACCACCCCCCCATGCAGACCTAGCTGCGTTGCAGGACCCAACCCGATGTGATGCACTGGGGTGAGAGCACTGCAGGACCAGCCCTGGCTGTTTTATTGCCCCAATCCATACTGCCGGGATACAGCACCAGTTATATTTTGTGTTAGCTCCCATCCCTTCACTATCCAGCAGTTGGAGGCTAACTTTAAGGCTCTAGGCAGCTCGCATATCTGGGGTCAATTTTACCTCCTCTAGTATCACAGGTAAAACTCTTCAAAGATACGTATGTCCCAGAGCCATGTATACTGCAGTGGGAAAGACCCTCACCTTGAGCTTTTGGTCACTCACTGTGGGGCTGCACATCCCCACAAGAAATGGCGCCGCAGAGCCAAGCTACCCTGAATCTGGAGCTCTGGATGGTTTCCAGCACAGGACTGACCTCCAGCCATGTGCTGCCATCCCCATCCCGAAGAGCAGCAGCAACAGGCAGAGGCGCTTACAGCTGGATGGGGCGTAAGGCTGGATGGTCTGTCGGCCCGAGGAATCTCCATGCCAAAACCACTGAGCTCCTGAGGCTTAGGCAGTTTCGGACGTTCCCATTTCCAACGAGGCAAGCTGATACAGACGTGTAGGAGGATGCTAACAGGCCCCTGGTCTCCATTTGTTTTACAGCAGACGTTTGTGCCTCTGTTTAATACTCAGCTCAGCAACTTGCACCGCTCAAAACGGAGGCCTGTGGTCTTTATTAGCACGGGCACAGAGAGGCAGCTTGCTGCTCCACAGAACTTGTGCTGCTCCGGGTGGGTACACGAGGCAGTCTGACTACGTGGTGTGAAGTTCAAGCACCCATCTAGATACATCCATACTACTGGAAAAGAGGTTTGGTTGAACCATAGTGGGTTCTCAGCATGGGCTCATTTCGGGAGTCCCAGTGCAGTTGCTCAGCTAATTTATTGTAGTTTCCTCACTAAAATGATCTTCAAGAATGTTATCCCATACTCTACCAATCAGAACTAAACTTACATTTTTAGCATAGATACAAGAGGATTTAACTAGTTTTCCACACAGTATGTTGGAAAGGGTAGCTAAGACTCCCAACTGCATCTGAGGCTTTAAATTAAAGAGCTTTTTCTTAAACAAAAACTTTGTACCTGTATGTGAGGGGTACACAACTTTGGTACCTACAGAACATGTACTGCAGGCACACACTATCACATATGTAACACATGATGGGGGAGCAGATTTCTTTGACTATATAAAAGCAGGGAGGGATCAAAAACATAAACAATTTGCCTTTCTGCTTTCTCAGCAGTACAGAAAGTAAGGGCCAAACTCCCTAACCCCTTGCTCAGATAAGCTGTTATTATCCATGGGAGCAAATCTGTTTATATGAACATACTCATCTGAGTACAGGTTGTGGAGCTGGGCTCTAAATCCCTGTGTAACAAAGCCTTCGTAACGATCTCGAGTTTGTTCCCAGAGCTCTAAATAAGCACCGTTATGAAATGGCTTTGTGCTGGGTAAACACCACAGAAAGGAGCAGCCAGGCTGGGGGCTGAGCTGTGGGGACAAACTGAAAAACTCAGGCAAGTGTCTGTGTACGGAGAGCTTTTTTCCACAGCGAGCTCCGCAAGCCAGAATGAGGATGGATTTCCCCCATGTCCATACTTTCAGCATCCCAACCTTTCCTTTCCAAATATGACATGTTATTCAGACTCTGACACAGCATACTGGCCTCTGCATATCATGCTGTCACGCAAGCCCAGGCCCCAAGTCATCACAGTAACTTAGCCTAGCTTGTTCCAGTTTTTTGTTCTGTTTGAAATGATGTCGGCCTCCAGCAGCCAGCCAGCACGCCTGGTTTGTGCTCATCAGTTGAGTTGGTGCTTTTACAGTCAGACTTTATACCAGAGTTTGGGAAATTAACAGAAAGGTCTGACTGTGCCATTTTGCACAGACCCCTTTCTTTTCTTTCTTTTTCCTAGAGAATTAATAAAAAGAGAGAGAGTGTCTAAAAACTGGTATTAATAGGTTGATGTCCTTCAGGGAATCTGATGAAATGTGCTTGTCAGGAAACACTTAGCAGACTGACAGGATGTGCCCGGCAGGCAGGCAAGCCAGCCTCTGGCTTTTTAATTGTGCATGGCACGATCTGAGTTCATAGGCATGACAGCAAATTGTGCTTTCACTGAAGAATCTTCCCAAATGAGTCAAGAGGAATCTCCAGACAGCAGAAAAAGGCACATAAAAGCAAACCGATCAGTTTAGATAACAGGCCACATTCTTGGTCAAGTAGACATGGTTTGAATCAGCTGGAACTCACAAGCATACAAACTCTGGGAATCCGGCAAAAATCTCTCATATCCTTTTTCAGGAACACTGCCGACTGGCGAAAAACATGCACAGGAAATCAACTGAGTGTGGGGAGAGGGAGATCACGTAACAAGTCTTCTGTCCCAGCTTTCCGATGTCGGCCACGCTGGCTAGTAGTGGTGCTGGTACACAGCTGCTGGGGTTGTGCCGTTCTCTATATGCTTCAGATGACAGGAGTGACAAAGCAAATGTTCATCTAGTGGGTAACAGCGGTGCCCGTCTTCGTCATTGAGTTCCATCCCACAGTCCTGCAAAGAGAGGACATGAAAATTATTAGAGCATGCGTTCATCTTCCAGTGTCAACTGGGGTCTGGCTTCCAGGAAGGTGATTTTGTGACAGGAACAGAAGACACACAGCCAACAGCTCCTTCTTAGTAAGTCCAGCGTGTGCCATGAGAAGGAAAGCACCTGACATAGGCATTTTGTGGGGTGGCCTTGTACAAATGTGTCTTAAGCATAAGCTTTATCTTGCGGTGAGGTGCAACCCTATGTATTTTAAACATGCTCATGTCTCCTTGCACTCTCAGATAGGATTCACCTCTTCACATTACATTAATTGTAGTTGTACTGATATTAAACCAGACTGCAGGGTCAGGCCTCTTTTGACTGCATTATGAGTACAGTGAGAGAAAACATCTATTTTAATTCACAACGCAGAAGTATGAAGGCTCTCTGGGAAGCCCTGCACAGAGATCAAACAGTGTTTAAGAGCTGGCATCTCTTGGGAATTTTTTGTGCAGCCATATCCTTTCTCCAGCCCCAGTGACACATTCATTTCCCATGAGAGTGAAGGTAACCTACACCACACAGGATCAGTCATCACCTTAGCATTTTTGAACAATCTGACTTGGAAATCAGATACACTAATGCGACCTGGAGCTCAAGGCTTCTGAAAGGCTGCGTTAAACCTTACTAAGTCAGCATCTTTCCTTCATTAACAAATAAACTGACAAGTTTAAAAGTGGTAACTAACTCTTTGCCCATAACTTTGTGGATAGCAAAAGCAATTGCAGCTGAGACACATTGCTTGCAAAAACTTTTGTCCTCAAACTGGAAATTTCTCAGCCAGTGATAGAAAGGGTCACACAATGCAAAGTTTGAATTGCTCATCTACTGCCATTGGAAGGGAAATTTATTTCCATCTTAAAAATAACAGCAGTTATCACTATTAAATGCCCACTCCCAGAGAAAGCTGCTGACCTACCTCGCAGTGATAACATTCCACATGGTAATCCTTGTCCATGGACACAACCCGAATGGTCTCATCAGACCCCTGTAAGCATTTAAGCCAAAGAGAAATTATGAAGGGTTACAGCAGGATCGGATACATGCACTCTGTAGACTGTTTCCTGCAACAATGTGAGTGTTGAGGAAATGCATTTGGGCTGCTGGTTGGACAGCACAAATAAATCCTGCCACCTGTAGTTATTTTTACAGTAAAGCTTCAACACTGACTGACTGCAGATATCCTCTAAAACGTAACACCAGAAATGTAAAATCCTCTGTTTAACAGTCACATCTGTCTCAAATTACGCATTAATGATTTGGTAATTTCAATATATCACATTTCTCAGCATTTTAAATTGGTTTTACCCAAGATTAATCTCCTCCAAGTATTAAAACAAGTTAGTCCCAGAGGGGTCACACCGAGGTCATTCACAAGTGCCACCAGCATTTACTGACATGAAGGGAAGGTACCCCAAACACAAAACTAGGAGCAGTATAATCCTGCAGGAGATGAAAAAAGCAGCCTGGCCCAGCAAGAATAAGCTTCATTATCAAGCAAAAGAAGGGTCACATCTCAAGAATAGTGTATGATCTCAGGTCAAAAGGTTGCACTGAGGAGGAAGCAATCATCTCTCCCCATCCGCGAGAACATTCATCTCGACAAGGGGTCAAGTGTGAAAGAGAGCAAGACCTGAGACAGGACGCTCCCTCCCCTGAGGGGATATGGAATAAAAGGCTCTCACCTCGGAGGGCAGAATGGGGAGTCCACATGCTGCACACTTTGGAGCTAAAACTCTGAAAGAGCAACGAGAAATTGAAGGCAAGTTATAGATCAACATAAAATGAGAGACCTGTATGCTCTTGACAATAAGATGAAAAGCTGCAGCTGTAAATAACTTATCCACAGGAAAGTTTTGCATCCCAAGATCATAAATTCATTTCAGCATTGATTGTAAGTAATGCTTGGCACGCGTTGCTCATTCAGGCAAAAAGAGACCTTACATTTTACACTTAGTGCCAGAAAAAACCCAAAAGCCACTGTAAAATTCTTGTCTGCTACGGAGGTATTTGGAAGAGAGGATGAGGAAAAACTGAGCAGGACAGTCCCCAGGAAAACATCAAAAGAAGTGAGAGAGAGAAAATTCCACAGGACTGTACGGTTCCTTAAGGCCTTATAACACAATGCAACAAGATAAATGAATAATTAAATTAAATTGCAAGGAAATATGCATCATTTCAGAACAACAGTGGCACATGGAGGCAACTCTAATCCTGGCACAACACAGAACAGTTCCAGGGGCTGCCTGAGCAACACTTAATACTCTGCCTGCTCAGAAAAATGAACAAGGAGCAAAGCAAGCCAGAGGGACACTCAGAATGTATGCAGCTCTAATATCACAACTACCAGCTAAGAGCACAGGCATTTTATTTTATTGTCCAAATGACAAGTGATTTTTTAAGTGGATTTATCAGTTGTTTAACTTAGAGCTGGATAAAAATTTTGTTCTGTGGGTTCAGTAGTGATTCTTTAGAAGTCAAACTCAGCCCTTCAACTACTGAAAAAGTACCTCACATTGATTTCCACAGGCATTCACAGTCTTACTTCAGAGCAGACTAATTTCTTACATCATTGGACACTTGATGAGCATTATTTCTCACTATCTCTGCTTCGCAGAAGGGGCAGTTGAAGCCCAGGGATTCAGAGTTACACAGGAGTCAGTGACAGGACAAGAGAGACATTGGGAATTTCTAGGGTCTAGCACCATCCTCAAATTTCTAGCTTCTAACCCTGTCCCTGTTTTACACATTTGCACTTCCTAACTAGCTGAAAAGCTGTTAGAGGCTTGTTGATTGGAGCATCTCTGCTGTGTATTTTGTCCTTACTTGTGGTAATCTCTGACACAGTAGATTTTGTTTTCAGAGTCTACGGTGAATGGCACACCATCCAGACACTCATTGCAGACCACGCATCGGAAGCAGCCTGGATGATAAGATTTCCCCAGAGCCTGCAGGATCTGCAACAAACCAAGAGACAGGAAAAATGCATGTGAACAGCTAATGAAGGTGAAAATAATAAACACACAGTTTTACACCTGACAATGCTGCATATTCATCAGCGGAGCTGTGTCTTTTTTCAGGCACCTCATCTGAAAAATGATTTAACAGGGATGGAAAGGGCAGCCAGAATCAATATATAACTCCTGGTTTCAGATAGGTGAATTATTAGCATGAGTAAGAAAACAATTTACAGTCTCAATCAAAGTATTTAGCATTACAAAGGACAGAAGTGACAGAATTTAAGGGAAAGAAAATAATTTCTGAAGCCAACAGGTACAGAATACTTAGCAGGACCACAAGGCAAGACGTACCAGGCCAACAAAATGAACTACATCTTTATATTCTTCATGAGAGGCTGAAACAAACACTATTGCTAGTTTTTCATAATTCCTATATCAGTATCAAAGAGCTTTGTACACACTAGCCTGGCTTTCTAATTAATACAGACTATGGAAACTGTGTTGAACTCAACAGCTGCAATTCACCTGCTGGCTTTGGGGCAGCAATTACTACCTGGAATACCATGGTCCATCAGCTAAGTGGCCAGACTTCTGAGTATAAAACAGCTTTTCTAATTTTAATGCTTTCCAGTATAAGCAGGCAAGCAAAGATAATTATCAATAAGCATCAGAAGATCTTGGGAGGCGTGCTGTGAACTGACCACCAGAAATTCCTAATTTCTCTGCCTCACCTGTAGTTTTACACCACCAGCTATACAATCATTAATTTGTCTCCCTCTGAGTCACCCACAGCTGAATGCTGCCTGGTGCTGGCTAAAGGCCAGCTCACCCCCCCAGCCGTAAGCCCCTCTGTGCACACCTTGAATGGATGGTATCTGTTGTAGGCTAGGGAGAACTGCCTGCTTCAGCAGGATATCCACACATCTCCCGACGAGTTTGCAAGGATTTGGGCAGATCTGAACTGAGGGCTGGATCACATACTTTGGGTCAAACCTATTCCCCAGAGTATCAGCACCCACAGAGTAACTGGCAAGACAGTAGCTTCATCCTGAAGGTATGCAGGAAGCCACAGCTTAAAGACAGGCTCGGCAGAGCTGCACTGATGCCCCACAGCAAGGGAGCACTGCAGATCCATGGCCCTTCAGAGCAGGAAGCAGACAGGATAACAAATACACTGCCCAGGGAAGCACAAAAGGGGATGAAAGAGCTGAAGGCTCTGCTTTTCACCCTCCGCTGAAAATGGGCAGAGCAATGTCTCTGCACCACACGCAGCAGAGTGCCAGCTTCACTTCCTCACAAAAATCAACAAAAGGCTTAGGGGATTTTTTTTTTTTTTCTGTTCCCAATCTCACACTAGGCTGACTATTGGATGATAAAAGACAGTACTGGATATGAATATATCTTGCTTTTGATGTATTCTTCTATAAAGCTGTGGGATTTTTTTCTCCTAAAGCAATTATCACTTACCATGTCCATTATCAAATGACCACAAATGAAACACCTGTCAGCTGACTGCTGGAAGCCAGAATACTGCAAGAACAAAAAAGAATTGGCTTAAAATTTCACAGGGCTAGTCGAGCATAAAGAACAGTGTACTGTGGGGTGTTATTTGCATGGTCTTTTTCTGTACTCCTTACACAAGGTAAACTTTCCAGTGCTTTTGTCAGTATATCAAGATGTGGATTGGTCCCCAGAGGATATTCTATAAAGACACCAGACTTCCAGTTCAGAATGAATGAGAGTTCCTCTAACCTCTAAGTCTAAAATTTAAGTTTAATTAAGTATATAAGTAAATACCATAAATGCATATGCAAATAAGGCATTTACTAATAAGACTTACGTGCTTATTTGACCACGTGAATCTACAAACCAGAAACTTACTTGTGTTTATCACATATTTGTATCACAATACCTGTATATATAGGCTCGTAAAGCCAAATTCTTCCTTTGGTTACACTGTCATAGTTCTACTGAAGCTTCTCTGAGGTCAATGGTATCACCCCACCTGCCTGTTAGTACATCAATCAAGTTTGGCCCAGAGCAACTTTTTTGCTGCTATTGCTAAGATCTAGCAGTAAGGAACTGCCTGTTGTGTCCACAACATGCATCTCAGGCACAACGTATCACCTAAGGCACATTCAGTCCTGTCTGAATGGTGGAAATGCAAACTGGAAAAATTAATTATTTCAGATGCGTTTAACCAATCTTTCAATTTTCAGCCTGTGTTGAATATACTGACGAGAGCAAAGAAGATTAACTCAGTTCCCTCCGACAGAAATCACTAGACTTTCCCAGTAAGTAGGCAAATATGATGTTTTCCAGTCTCAATGAAGGCTTAATCTATCAGGACTCAGGGGCAAAAGGGTACATGGCTTTTTATCTCCACCAGCCAAGGAGAGAACTGTGGGGTTGCTTCATGCTCAGGTACGTTCACACAAAATCCACTGAGGGCAAGAGAAGGGTATCCATTAAGATGCCCAAGCAAACCCAGTTCATTGGAAAGGGAAGTTCACTCATTCATTCTTCTGTAGCCATTCATCTTGCTCCTGCCTCCATGGCATGGTCACAGAGACATGCTTTGAAGGAGCCATCTCAAGAGATTATGGCTTCGGCTAGGGGCTCTGCATCACAGAACTGTGGCCTCTCACTTGGCTACTTCCAGCACCACATGTGGGCAGCCGCCACGGCTGGGGCTGGCCCTGGGTAAATGGTGGAGCAGAAGGGCCAGGCAGAATCCTGGACCAGAGCTGTGTGAAATGCAGGCAAAGCTGACAGGTAGAAACGTTGTGTCTCTGCTGGGGAGGATGAGATGTGCCAGCACAAGGGTCAGCTGTGTGCTTACCAGGAAATCTTCTTCACAGAACACCTTGCCATTGACAAAATAAAAGGCTTTTCCTCTCAGCTTTCGACCTGAGGACAAAAACAAAGAGAGAAGAGAAAGGTCAGCAAAGACCGGGGAGAAAATGTGAACAAAAACCGGCTGCTGAGAAGTGAACAACGAGGAGGTCAGAGCATGGCTTCTGCACAGTTGGAGAAGAACACTCAACCCCAGCAGTGGTCTTCCCAGACTTCAGCCTGACTAACCCCATCTCCTCTGCCACTGGCAGTCGCTGATGAATGCCAGTCGCTGTATCTGGACAACAGTCCCACCTCTGGGGAGGAGAAGGTAGCTTTGCAAGCCTGGACCTCCTCCTGGCAGATTACAACATGAAATAACCTGGCAAGAGCAAGTGAGGGCTCATGCTGGAAAACATCCCAGGATGCAAAGCGGAAAGTAGAAAGGGCATACAGAGAGTGATCCATACTTGACATTGTTCCTCAAAATGTCACACCCATGCTGTTCCACTATAAGGTGCTTTCAACCAGCAGCTGCCAGACAAGCCGCTGCAATACCCCACCACCTGGTCTGCCCCCAGCAGAGTACAACACCAGAGTGTGCAACATGCTTCTCTGCTCCCTACCAGCACATTCCTTACCGCAGCTGCCAACAAAAGTTTGAAACCATTTAAAAAAGTATTTTTTTTTTTTCAAACCAGAATGTCATAACAGAGACAAGATGACAAAGTTTTTCTGAGAAAGGACTCTACGTATAAGGAAGATTTATGTTTACCGCAGCTTTTGTGTTTATGCCTCACATTTGCTGACTGTTTTCAGCTCCATGTAACTATGGCAATGCATGCTCATGCTGCCACCACTACTTCTGAATGTCCTGCCTTCCCCTCTGGAGAAAAGGGGTAGGTTTTGTTTGTTTATAAAAAGCTGCTCCTGCCTCTTTGCAGCCCGGTTTCCCTATCCAGCCAGGGATTTGAAATGCAGCCTAACACTGGAGCGGTTTTGCTTGCTGCTGCAGGCTGGTTTCATGGACCTGCCAGGCGCTGCTGGAAGAAAATGGGAACTGAGACACTCGGGCCCAGAAGCCTCCTGCTTGATATGCTGCATGTGGCAAGTATCGTTAAAAAAAGTGATTATCGGCTCCTAGGAGTATAAATGCAAACGGCACACAGGACAGGTCTGGAGGTCACATCTTGGTGCGTTATGGCATGCACCTACCTGGTCGCCTTCAATGAATAACTATGCTGTCTGCAAAGCTTTAAGAAAAGGAGGAAACCAAGCAAAATTTCAATAAACTACAGTCTTTACTGTCTCCCGAGTACACCAGAGGGCACTCTCGTGTTGGGACACAGCTCCAGCTGCTCCTCAGGGAAACAAAGATGCTCCAGTGAAGCTGTAAAGTTTTGCCAGTGAATTCAGCCAGACCAACATTTCACCAGTAGCCCGTAGCACACTGCCCAGGTTTCATCCATCAGGGCAGGTGGAGGACGTGGCAGTGTGTTTCTTGAGGAACAGGCCCCAGTTGGCACGTGTGGCAGCTTCATGGCTGAGCTGCAGGCGTTGCTCAGCCATGTGTTTACTGGGCAGCGTAGGAGCCAGAATCATTCTGCCCCAGCACACTCATTGTCCTTGTTCTCCTCTAATCCCTGCTGGGGACAACTGTGTTACCCACAGGTCAGAGATGACGCAGGGTGCCCATCCTTGCACCACTGCAGACGTCGGACAGGCCACGGAAGAAAATCCGACAAACCCAAAAGCATCCCATTCTGATTCCTCTCACCCACCTTGATGCTTTGCCAAGGTTGCCGACACCAAGATGGGACCCGGAGACCAAAATAAGAAGTATCTAATCTTGGATGTGTTAGCTTTGTGGTCCATAACCCAGGGTGTGTATTTGTATGATAACCCCTCCTGTGTGCCTGCCCATCCACAGGTAAGCCCAGCACGCTCGCCGGCAGTTGCAGACTCCCAGTTTGTGAGGAAGGGAAGGACAGGCTTGGCAATGCCTGGGATTTGCATCATCCTTGTCAATGGTGGTCCTAAGCGAGTTAACAAAAAGCCTAATGCAGCAAGAACTACCCCCGAAAATCTCCTGCTGATTTAAATACAGCACTGGGATATGGCACTCCTAAAAATGAAAAACAAACAAAAAACATTTAACTTTGATTTTAAATTACATGGTAGCGAGGGTTCCAGTTTAGTGCAACAGGCAGGTGCCCAAACAACTTTCCAGCTGGATGCAGTGTCTCTCCTCATAGACAAGCTGGCAGCGGTGAGGAAAAACATACATGTGGAACCATGCAATGAGGAGATGGTTCTTTGGACAAAGGTCCTGGACAGTGCATGAGCAGCAGCCATTCCAGCAGAAGGGATGAGGTTTGGATCACTGCCACCGCATCATTCTTCCACAGTGACAAAAAAAATCATTTACCAGCCATTCTGCACCCGGTGTATTTTTAACCCCATGACATTAGCAGGTCAAGATTGATGGCAACAGACCTTTGGAGAAGGTGACACAGCCGGCACGCCGTGTCTGGGTTTCTGCTGCAAGCTCATTCAGCAGAGGAATAAACCCCTTTAAAAAGGATTTATAATTTGGCTGTTGGTGTTACATGGGCCCATGAAGAAGAGGTGCTAACACCAAGAGCACTTTGAGGGAAGGGGAGGGATGATTTAACTACTTCATTTAGGGAAGAGCTGATCATTTTGACTATTTTTAGCTTCTCTCCATGACTCTCTTTAAGCCCCTGGCAGAAATGTAAAAGGAAATTTGGCAAAACACAAGTAATCAGGTGCCCTTGCAGCCACTTCAGGAGTGGTGCATGCAAACGGAGCCTATTTCTTCCTCTCCTGCTCTCAGCCTCTCCTTGCCACATCGGGATGGACTTCTCCCAATGTCCCTTTGAGGTGAGGAAGCATCTCCTCATCATACACACGGGAAAGCAAGATGCAGAAAAAGCTCACTTCCCCAGGCTGCGCCAGGGACCATCCTGGTAGAGCTGGGAAATGCACGTTCTGGCTGCAGCCACACCAGTAAAACAAAGAGCACTGGGACTGCCTCACAGTGCAGAGCAGGGCGGCAGCGGCTTCTGTCCCTGCGCTGAGCTTCCTGCCACGAGACTGGGCCTCAAATTAAACAAGTCTCTCTCAAAAGCGATACTTCTGACTGTGTGCCCGCAGAGGCTGGCACAGGTTTTGCTTAAGCACAGAGAAGCTGTCGTAATTTCACCAAAAGGAAGGGTTGCGAACTTAAAAGGTATATAAAGGAATCACATATTGATCACTGCCTACTTTAGATATTTATCACTTTAAATATGCGTCATGATGACTACAGAGATGATATCCTTTGATAAACCCAGGAATATTAATGTGCTTTCAGGATCAATTGCTTTACTACATGTCTTAAACTGCTGGCTCCTGATGGTGTTTCACTTTCACTTCACACTAAATTTAGCTAATCTCTTACCTGAAAAAATTCAGACAGTTAAAATTCTTTGGCATTTCAACCCTACCATCTCCACTCATTACCAGATTTCTTGTTCCTCTCCCTGACAGGAGATTTGAGCCCCGAGCTTTTATGTACTGCTCATCCCTAACACGTCTGCCTAATCTGTTTAGCTGTGGGACCTTCAAGATGACCTCGAGGTCATTTCAGCACCAATTTCAGAATATTTCAAGCTTAGTCACTAGTGCCTTTGTGCGAAAATAAACACCCTTTGCTTAGCAGCTGATAATAGGCATACCATCAGGCTGCACTCCCAGGATGCTGGTGCTTTTGTTCATCATTTTCTCAAATGACAGCTCGCTCCTTTTGAAGTTCCTACAGAGAAGGGTTTACCAGGGACTTGCAAAGGCTCAAGGAGGATGCTGGGAGATGCATCATTTGCTTGCTGGGGAGCTGGACCCAACTTTCTCTTTTGAAGTTGCTCTTCCATTATTTATTAAAAGGACAATGGGGTCCAAACTCATGTTCAAAGACAAGAGATTGCTCTCAATGCATATAATGGTACATGTCCAGATCCCAGGGCTCTATGGGGATGCATGACCAGGACCCTGCATTGCTGGGGAGGGTGCGGACCTCACTTATCTAAGCACCCTTGGAGCTCCCTGCAGTATCTGCACAGCAGATGGGCAAGAATCACTGCAGACTGGCAGCTGCTTCTGGGTCCCTTCCACGCTGACAGCCCTGGGTCTCTTTCATTACAAAAAATCAGTCCTTCTTAGAGCATCATAGCTGTAAGATGAATCTGGACATGCGATTACTAATGACAGGTTAAATACAAAGGGATTTCAGTTTCTGGATTCATTGTTGTAACCTCCTGACACATTAGAGGGACAGCGGGCTGGAAACACTGTCCGTCTAGATGCTAAGAGTTGAATCAAGTCCTGGGTGGCTCTGGCTCAAGCTGCAGACCTTCCCCAACTTTCATTTCCCCCATGTAAAGCTGCGAGGAGGTTCGGATCGAAGAACCTGCTTTGGTCCGTGCACACCCTGCAGGCAGTAGAATGGGCACAGGCAGAGCCCAGAGACCTTGGCTCCCCCATACCATTCAAAAGTCACTGCTGCCCACAGTTCAGCAGTTCAACATGAGACCCACCAGTCCCCGGCCAGCACACACGTTTTTGGAGCCCTCCATGGATACTCTGCTGGCAGGCAGTATGGTGTCCTACCATGAGCGGCAGACTAGGTCAAGCATCAGTGAGCTCTACTTAATTTCTGCCATCTGTCCCATTTCTGTTGGCTGCCATTAAAGCTGGATGAAGCACTGAGACTGACACAGAAGCATCAATATTTCCAATCCGCTCTGGAACTGGGGCTGTGCAAAATGGTCACTTAGATGCCAGCACATCCTCCAAATCAGGTAGACTCAGACTGTGATCAACCAGCAGACAACCTGCATCAGACCAAAGTCGTGGTGAAACTGTGGGCAGGAGGATAGGGTATCTCATAGAAAAAAGTGCACTAGGACACAGTAGCTCCATTATCACGTAAGAAATTCAGTTTGTCTCTCAACTATTTCAGCTGTATTGTACAATTGCAAAAAATGCCCTCTGCATTCTCACCACACAATTGAGGT